TCAGATTGTAAGAAGTCTATGAGGAAATGTTCTTACTTTTCTCTCTCTTTATTACCTCAGATTGTAGAGAAGTCTATGATGAAATGTTCTTACTTTCTCTCTCTCTTTATACCTCAGATTGTAGAGAAGTCTATGAGGAAATGTTCCTACTTCTCTCCTCTCTTTATTACCATTCAGATTGTAGAGAAGTCTATGAGGAAATGTTTCTACTTCTCTCTCTCTCTTATTACCTCAGACTTGTTGAGAAGTCTATGAGGAAATGTTCCTACTTCTCCTCTCTCTTTATTACCTCAGATTGTAGAGAAGTCTATGAGGAAATGTTCCTACTTCTCTCTCTCTCTTTATTACCTCAGATTGTAGAGAAGTCTATGAGGAAATGTTCCTACTTCTCTCTCTCTCTTTGTTACCTCAGATTGTATAGAAGTCTATGAGAAAATGTTCCTACTTCTCTCTCTCTTTAATTACCTCAGATTGTAGAGAAGTCTATGAGGAAATGTTCCTACTTCTCTCTCTCTTTATTACCTCAGATTGTAGAGAAGTCTGAGGAAATGTTCCTACTTCACTCTCTCTTTATTACCTCAGATTGTAGAGAAGTCTGAGGAAATGTTCCTACTTCACTCTCTCTCTTTATTACCTCAGATTGTAGAGAAGTCTATGAGGAAATGTTCTTACTTTTCTCTCTCTTTATTACCTCAGATTGTAGAGAAGTCTATGAGGAAATGTTCCTACTTCTCTCTCTCTTTATTACCTCAGATTGTAGAGAAGTCTATGAGGAAATGTTTCTACTTCTCTCTCTCTCTTTATTACCTCAGATTGTAGAGAAGTCTATGAGGAAATGTTCCTACTTCTCTCTCTCTTTATTACCTCAGATTGTAGAGAAGTCTATGAGGAAATGTTCCTACTTCTCCCTCTCTTTATTACCTCAGATTGTAGAGAAGTCTATGAGGAAATGTTCCTACTTCTCTCTCTCTCTTTGTTACCTCAGATTGTATAGAAGTCTATGAGAAAATGTTCCTACTTCTCTCTCTCTTTATTACCTCAGATTGTAGAGAAGTCTATGAGGAAATGTTCCTACTTCTCTCTCTCTTTATTACCTCAGATTGTAGAGAAGTCTATGAGGAAATGTTCCTACTTCTCTCTCTCTTTATTGCCTCAGATTGTAGAGAAGTCTATGAGGAAATGTTCCTACTTCTCTCTCTCTTTATTGCCTCAGATTGTAGAGAAGTCTATGAGGAAATGTTCCTACTTCTCTCTCAATTTACTCTGATATTTATTTTTGTTTTATTCAACTTTTCTTTCCCCACTTTCGTTCATTCATTTCAGTTTTTTACATTTACTTTTGTACTCTTCAATGTTTCAGTGTTTTTCTGTCTTTGAACAGATGCGTGTTCATGGCCATCTTCACGTTTGAAGCGGTGGTTAAAGTCGTGGCCCGAGGACTCTGTGCTGGACGCTTCACCTTCCTCAGAGACGGCTGGAACTGGCTGGACGTGCTGGTCATCTGCACCGGGTACTCCAAAAATATTAAATATTACGTATACAATAATGTGGTAAAATCTATAATGTACATATATATTCAATCCAACTTTATTTACATAGCACTTTAAAACCTCCAGACCAAAGTGCTGTACAGAGAGATACATAACATATAAAATCACACAGCTCAGCTCACAAAGCTTAAAATAAAAGATAGATACACAAAACAAGCCAGAATAAACGTAACGATTTCAAAATAAAAATCATAAAAACAATAGACCACTGAAAGCAAATAAAAGCAACAATCTACTTGTTTACGAGTGCTAAGGGGAAGAGGTGCGTTTTAAGACGGGATCTAAAAGCAGTCAGTGTGGGAGCCTGTCTGATGAGCAAGGGCAGGTCGTTCCACAGGTTAGGGGCGGCAGCAGAGAAAGCACGGTCCCCTCTGCGCTTAGACTTTGTTTTTGGCACCCTCAGGAGCGACTGATCAGCTGACCTGAGAGTGCGAGTGGGCGTGTAGCTGTGTAACAGCTCAGAGAGGTAGGGCGGGGCCATTGAGGGCTTTAATAGTAAATAAAATAATTTAAAAATGAATCCTCGAAAGAACGGGCAGCCGGTGGAGTGAAGATAAAATGGGGGAAATGTGCTTGTGTTTGCGTGTGCCAGTTAGGAGCCGTGCTGCTGCATTTTGCACCATCTGCAGGCGAGCAAGGGAGGACGCACTTATCCCCATATATAGTGCATTACAATAATCCAAGCTGGAGGTGACAAAGGCATGGATTACCGTTTCAAAAAAGATCACTATTTAACCAAAGCTTTATTTTGGCTAGCTGCCTGAGGTGGAAGAGGTTGTTTTTAACAACTGCCTTGATCTGGCTGTCCAGCTTGAGTTCAGGGTCCATCTCTATCCCAAGATTTGTGATGGTAGGCCTGGTGGAGTGGCCCAAGGATCCAAGGTCTATAGGAGTGGTCCGAGGGGCACCAACAACCATCACTTCAGTTTTGTCATCATTTAATTAAAAAAAGTTGCATGAAATCCAGGATTGAATGTCTTCAAGGCAGTTTAACAGAATATGAGTCGTTCTTTTTAAGTGGCACATATATTTGGCAATCGACTGCATAGCAATGGAAAGCGATGCCGTGCTTCCTAAGAATGGACCCAAGAGGGAGCAAATACAGGGAGAATAACAGGGTGCCTAACACTGAGCCCTGTGGAACCCCGCAAAGGAGAGGAGCAGACGAGGACTCAGAGTCCCCAAGGCTGACGCAGAAAGTCCTACCAGTCAGATACGACCTAAACCATTCGAGGGCTTTGCCCCTGCCCCCAATGCCCCACCCACTGCTCCAAACAAGCTATCAGGATCTCATGGTCCACTGCATCAAAAGCAGCTGTTAGATCAAGGAGTAAAAGGATAATGCATTCACCTGAGTCTGTTGCTAAAAGGATATCATTAAAAACTCTTAAAAGAGCTGATTCCGTGCTGTGCAAGGTTTTAAAACCAGATTGGAAGACCTCGAGTACCTTGTGCTCTTCCAGAAAAGCGAGAAGTTGACTGTGTACAATCTTCTCTAGGATTTTGGACATAAAAGGCCATTTGGAAATGGTCCTAACATGTGTAAGAACTGTGGGATCCAGACTAGGTTTCTTAATAAGTGGTTGCACAACTGCATGTTTCCAATTTTCCAGAACAACCCCTGTGAGCAGACTGCTGTTAAAAACGTCAAGAACAAAAGGTCCTATAGTGGGGAATACCTCTTTAAAAAATCGAGGAGGGACAGGGTCGATTGGAGAACCAGAGGGCTTTATTTAGGAGACAATCTGCTGCACAGAGGGCAGAGTCATAGGCTCAAAAGGGTCAAAAACAGCAAAGCAGGGGGCAGAGACAGAGGTGTCGTTTGATGGAGCAGTGATTTGAGTCCTGGTTGAAGAACATTTTCACAGACTGCAGGGGAGATCTCCACACAGGTAGTCTGAGGGGCAGTAAGAACTGAATCTATTGTCTGAAACAGTACACAAGGTTTGTGAAAGTTTAAAAGAATGATGTCAGAGAAACGTTTTATTTTTGCCTCTTTCACAGTTTTCTGATCGAGACGTCAACACTGCCTCAGCATTTGAAAAGAGACTTGTAGTTTGTCCTTATTACATCTTCTTTCAGCTCTATGGCATTCATATAAATATGGGGGTCATACACTACAGTAGTCCTTTTGTGTTTCTGTTTTTGCTGTTTTCATGAGATTGTGGTTTGGTTTGTTGTTTCAGATATCTGACACAGGTTGTAAATGTGAGGATATTTACTGTGCTGGGCTCAGTCGCTCGTGTGCTGAAGATCATCCCAGTCTTCCCAGGTCAGTGTGTGTGCGTGTGCGTGTGCGTGTGTGTGTGTGTGTGTGTGTGCATGCCTGTAGATAGATGATTGTTCACTAAAGGGTTTTAAGGTAGCAGTTTCAAACCACGCCCCTCTCAGGTCTCAAGAAGACTGTTGGAGATCTCGTCCAATCAGTGAAGAGACTCGGTGGTGTCATCGCTCTGATGCTTTTTTTCTTTGGCCTCTGCGCTCTGATTGGTCAGCATCTCTTCATGGGAAACCTGAATCATAAGTGTGTTGTGTGGCCGCCAGAGTCCTCAGACAACCAGAGCTCCCAGTACAACTACAGCCAGTCCAACTACGCCAAGTACATCAACGACCACGGTATGGTGATGGTGATGAAGATGATTATATGGTGGTGATGAAGAATATGGTGGTGATGAAGACTGTCTCTCTGTCCTCTAGCAAACTTATACTACCTGCCCGATCAAAGGGACGCTCTGCTGTGTGGAAACACCTCTAATGCCGGGTACGTGTTCAAAGTCAATGTCAATACTGACATATGTATGATGGGGGTGATGATGATGAAGGTGATGATGATGAAGGTGCTGATGATGATGATGGTGCTGATGATGTGTTCAGGACCTGTCCTCCAGGTTACAGCTGTATGAGGACAGGGAGTAACCCTGACTACGGATACACCAGCTTCGACTCGTTCGGCTGGTCCCTGCTGTCTGTGGTTCGGCTGGTGAGCAAGGACTTCTGGGAAAACCTGATGCTGCAGGTGAGCGTCACATGACTGATGATGAGCGTCACATGACTGATGATGAGCGTCACATGACTGAAGATTAGCATCACATGACTGATGATGAGCGTCACATGACTGATGATGAGCGTCACATGACTGGTGATGAGCGTCACATGACTGAAGATGAGCGTCACATGACTGAAGATGAGCGTCACATGACTGAAGATGAGCGTCACATGACTGATGATGAGCATCACATGACTGAAGATGAGCATCACATGACTGATGATGAGCATCACATGACTGATGATGAGCGTCACATGACTGAAGATTAGCGTCACATACCTGATGATGAGCGTCACATGACTGATGATGAGCGTCACATGACTGATGATGAGCGTCACATGACTGATGATGAGCATCACATGACTGATGATGAGCATCACATGACTGAAGATTAGCATCACATGACTGAAGATTAGCATCACATGACTGAAGATTAGCATCACATGACTGATGATGAGCATCACATGACTGAAGATTAGCATTACATGACTGAAGATTAGCATCACATACCTGAAGATGAGCGTCACATGACTGAAGATTAGCATCACATGACTGATGATGAGCATCACATGACTGAAGATTAGCATCACATGACTGATGATGAGCATCACATGACTGAAGATTAGCATCACATGACTGATGATGAGCATCACATGACTGAAGATTAGCATCACATACCTGATGATGAGCATTACATGACTGAAGATTAGCATCACATACCTGAAGATGAGCGTCACATGACTGAAGATTAGCATCACTGCCACAATGAAAGCTGTGAATGACATTACGAGTATTTTAGATAAGCAGAGTTTTGCAGCTCTATTTATTGACACCGTCGATCATCGCATCTTAAAGCAGAGGCTCCCTTGAAAAAGAGATCGTTGATCTCAATGGGATTTTCACCTGGTTAAATAAAGGCTACAAACAAACATCAGCGTCACATGACTGATGATGTCTCTAGTTAGTTATAACCTACCGTCCGTCCACAGGTTTTAGAGTTAGTCACTAGTTAGTTATAACCTCCTCTCTGTCCACATGTGTTAGGATTAGTCACTAGTTAGTTATAACCTCCTCTCTGTCCACATGTGTTAGGATTAGTCACTAGTTAGTTATAACCTACCGTCTGTCCACAGGTGTTAGGATTAGTCACTAGTTGGTTATAACCTCCTCTCTGTCCACATGTGTTAGTCACTAGTTAGTTATAACATCCTCTCTGTCCACAGGTGTTACTCACTAGTTAGTTATAACCTCCTCTCTGTCCACATGTGTTAGGATTAGTCACTAGTTAGTTATAACCTCCTCTCTGTCCACATGTGTTAGGATTAGTCACTAGTTAGTTATAACCTCCTCTCTGTCCACATGTGTTAGGATTAGTCACTAGTTAGTTATAACCTCCTCTCTGTCCACATGTGTTAGTCACTAGTTCGTTATAACCTACCGTCTGTCCACAGGTGTTAGTCACTAGTTAGTTATAACCTCCTCTCTGTCCACATGTGTTAGGATTAGTCACTAGTTAGTTATAGCCTCCTCTCTGTCCACATGTGTTAGTCACTAGTTAGTTATAACCTACCGTCTGTCCACAGGTGTTAGTGTTAGTCACTAGTTAGTTATAACCTACCTTCTGTCCACAGGTGTTAGTGTTAGTCACTAGTTAGTTATAACCTACCGTCTGTCCACAGGTGTTAGTGTTAGTCACTAGTTAGTTATAACCTACCGTCTGTCCACAGGTGTTAGGGTTAGTCACTAGTTAGTAATAACCTCCCATCTCTCCTCAGGTGTTGCGATCCTCTGGGAAACCCTACCTCACTTTCTTCCTGCTCGTCGTTTTCCCCGCCGGGTTCTTTGTCCTCAGCCTCATTGTGGCGGTGGTTGCCTTGGCAGCCGGCGAGCAGCAGGGCGCGGCGGTCAGCAAATCAAAACAGAGAGAAGAAGAGTTCAGTCAGATCCTGGAGGCGATAAAGAGGAGTGAGGAAGAGGAGGTGAGATCAGTTCAGCTCCCATACACCATCACACTTTATAAAGCTTTAATAACACCTGGTGCTGTTTCAACAGACAGCCAACAGGGCGGCACTCTCACAGGAACCAGAGGAGGAGAAGAAGGACAGCATGGAAGGTACACACACACACACACACACACACTTTCTTCAATACTCTAAAATCACATGGAGCCATCCCATTGGACCAGGGCGATGCTGCCTTCAGGGTCCCACACAGAAACAGGTTCCTGCAGCTGGTTGTGTTTCAGGGTTGGAGGAGGTCCAGCGCTCGTGTCCTGCTTGCTGCTCTGTCACCTGTAAAGTCCTCCTGAAGTGGAACTGCTGTGGCTGCTGGCGGGGGATCAAACAACTGCTCCAGGCCCTGGTGAGGGACCCGCTGTTCGACCTTGGGGTCGTGCTCTGCCTCGTCATCAACACCATCTTCATGTCTCTGGAACATTTCCCCATGACGGAGCAGTTAAGCTCCATGCTGAATGACATACAACTGGTGAGTGGGACCATATAAACTTAACACAAAAAGTAAGGACATGTGTGTTTGGCAGTGTAAGTAATTCTAGAACCCTGAAGGCAGGAGAGACTGAAAAAAGTCAAGGGAAGCCTATAAAAATTAACAGCATTTAATTACACAAAAGATGCAGTGGTGTACAAATGAAATGTGCGAGTGGAGGCGCTCTCCTCATGTGTTGGTCAGCCCAGGTCAGCAGGTAGAAGAGATCAATTATTGGCTTGCCCTTCCTGTTGTCATCTGAGGTCTTCTCCTATTGGCCGGCGTCATGGGGTCCAATGCAATTCCTGCCTTTTTCTGTTGCTAAATTACACCATTCTGGTGTCTGTGGTTATTTAAACATTCCCTGATAAACGTTATTCAGCGTCAATAAATGAGTGCTAATCCCAGTGTGCTCAGTGTACAACATCACATGCCATTTCACCTTCGATTCACGGTTTGAGAACGTAGCATTTCGCCACATGCTAATGCTAACCTAAGTGAAGAATTTTCTGAATAAAAGTGTTTATTTAGTGTGAACTTCCGGTTTTTCAGAATAAAACTGATTTAAATTAAATAGTGTATTTAATTCAAATTACGCCGTATCAACATTGATTTTAATTTCTAACAGTAGATTATTTCTTTGTTGTAACAATGCTTCTTGGCAATACATCTTAGACCGTTGGAAAGCTATTTATTTACATACCATGTGCATACTTGCCAACCTTGAGACCTCAGAAATCGGGAGGGGGGCAATAACATGCTTATTGTAGTTGTAAGTGCACTGCCTAGCGGCCTGTAGCACCATCCTTGATGGAGCATATGTGTGGGCTGGATCTGTATTTTACAGGAAAGGAGTGAGCAGAGGGTTGAGTTGTCCATTCTTGTTCTGTTTTCTGTGACCATCTTCCTCACCCTCTCAGACTTTCAGTTGCGCGCGCTACTAAAGAGACGCGCTACCATGGAAACCAAACAATGGTGTAGCTGTAGTCCGAGTGGAAACAGTCGTGAGTAAATCTGATTTGGTCAGAAATCGGGAGAAATGCGGGAGAAATGTGACCCCGGGAGTAAACCGGGAGAGGGCAATGAAATCGGGAGTCTCCCACGAAAATCGGGAGGGTTGGCAAGTATGACCATGTGTGGGATGAGTTTGTGGGTTGCACGCAGGAAAAATGTGACAAATCTCCTGCTCCACCTGTCTGTGATTCACCTGTCTGTGCTCCACCTGTCTGTCTTCACCTGTCTGTCTTCACCTGTCTGTCTTCACCTGTCTGTCTCCACCTGTCTGTCTTCACCTGTCTGTCTCCACCTGTCTGTCTCCACCTGTCTGTCTTCACCTGTCTGTGCTCCACCTGTCTGTCTTCACCTGTCTGTCTCCACCTGTCTGTCTCCACCTGTCTGTCTTCACCTGTCTGTCTTCACCTGTCTGTCTCCACCTGTCTGTCTTCACCTGTCTGTCTTCACCTGTCTGTCTCCACCTGTCTGTCTCCTGTCGGCAACTTCTACGCCGGCAGCCGACAGCATTTGTGCTGCTTACCAGGGCACTGTGGAGTCAACTCGGCATCCCTCATCCCGTCCGGCGACCACCTCTTCACGTCGTAGACTCCTAAAGAGGCCGTGCTGAGACACTCGGGAAGTTTGTCGGGCCCTGAGCCGGCAAGAAAATCCTCTCCGAGCCCAGCTGTTTCTGCTCGGTCACCACATCCTCAATCACCGGCACCCCCTCGTCCCCTATTCGCCCAACCACATTAATAATCGGGGATTCCATAATCAGAAACATCCGATTTTTCAACGCGGGCACGCGCTGCCTCCCTGGAGTAGGGTTGGGAACCGAAACTCGGTTCCAGATGAGAACCGATAAGAAAATGCCCGGTACCGGGTACCCATACAAAATACACAATGTTGGTTCTGCTTAACGGTTCCTAAACGCGGTAGACTTTGTATTCCACCGGGTCCGTCTGCGCCGCGGTGACCCGGTGGAATACAGCCAGGGTAAGGGAGGACTGGCCATCTGTGTGTTCTGGAGAATCACAGAACGGCCGGTCGTCAGCGGGCCGTTGACGGCCGGCTCGGTACGCTGACGGCCGGCACCGCCCTTCATTTTTTTAAATGGCATCATGTAAGTTGCGGCAACAGAGGTCCACAGTTTCCCTGCAGCGAGGCTCCCCCCGCCCTCCAGTAGACAGTTCACGAGCTCAGTCACTTCATAACACCAAAAATGGGTCGCGGTAAACGCTCTAAAGTGATGCTCCACTACACTAAAAAATAAAAAGACTAGGCCCAGTGTAAATCCTGCTAATAGCTTGCCAAAGGCATAGAATAAAGCACAGCTATTGTGCAATACGTTTGTATTGCATGTATATTTTTTATTTGTAAAAATGTCAGTTAAAGCTTAAAAAAATAAAGATATTTTTGTTATCTAAACATTTGACCTCTTTCTTTTAGAATAGAATTACAATTTTGGAATCGAAACGGGGAATCGATAAGAACCGGAATCGGAATCGATACATTTCAAACGATACCCATCCCTACCCTGGAGCCACCGTCCCGGTTATTCTGGAGAGACTCCCGGGGCTGCTACACTCACTCCCGTCCTCTGTCAATCGTCTAATCGTCCATGTGGGTTCTAACGAAACAGCCCGCCAGCAGTCGGAGCTGACAAAAAAGGATTTTAAGAAACTTTGTATTCTTTTACGGAGCTGTGAAAAGTCGGTTTTTATCTCAGGTCCGATCCCAACGCTAGGCCGCTGTTACGTACTCCCCCCCTTTTTGTTGTCCTCTTTGTTCTCTCTGCTGTGCAGGTACACCTGGCTCCGCCTTCCCCAGGTGTTCCCAGTTGTCACTCAGCCGAGCTTGGCCCATGTGTTCCCAGTTGCCAATCAGCCGAACATAAAAGAGGAGGCTGAAGGAGAAGGAAGAGGCCGATCACTACTCCGGATGTCTCTGCTGTGTCAGAGCTCTTTTGACTTTTTGTTGTGTTTCCTGGAGGACGTGTTAGGATTAGGTTTTCGTGGCTTTATTTCTCCCGTTAGGTCTGTTGGATTTTGGGTAGCGGAGGAAGGCTCTGGATCCTACGGCCCGTGGTGTGGTTGGCCCAAGTCCCCTCCGTCTGTTTGTTTGTTTTACCTGTCCTCCAGTGGAATGATTAAGTATTGTGGCAATAAATATAAGATTACAGTTTAGTGCCTACGTGTTGTGTGCTTTTGTTTTATGTTGCGGACTGCCTCACGAGCCACTACTATTGAGTAGGGAGGCGGGTCGTAACATATGGGGACTCGTCCGGGATGCTGTCTCGGGCAGGTGCCGGTGTGGTGGTGAGTAGTATTACTTTGTAAAAGGCCCTTGACAGCATGTATTTGTTTGGTTGGCTGTATAGCGTAGAGTTGCAGTGATGGATTTCGACTTGGAGGGGTTTGTTGGTGATCCGACTCGGGCGAAGTTGGATGCATGTAGCAAAGAGCAGCTTGGTCTGATCGCAGGCAAATTTGACGTGGTAGTCAATAAGCAGAACAAAAAACAAATCATTAAGGGACAGCTGTTGGCTGCGCTTATAGATCAGGAGGTATTGTCAGAGGAGGAAGTAGACGTTCCCATAGACGACGAGACAGAGGTCTCTCAGAAAGTGAGCGACCTTCAACTTCAGCTAGAGCTGCGCAAGCTGATGGTTAGAGAGAAGGAGAGTGATAACAGACTGAGAGAGAAGGAGATCGCCTGTAATCTCGAATTGAGGAAATATGAGGCGGAGTTACGTTTGAGGGAGCTGGAGCTGACGTCTTACCAGACTCAGCAGTTGGGGTCTGCGCAACCTCATGATTTTGACGTAGGCAAGTATTCTCGGTTTATCCCAGTATTTAACGAAAAAGACGTTGATAGCTATTTTGTCCTGTTTGAGCGTGGAGCAACAACGTTTAAATGGCCTGGGAACATGTGGACCGTTATGCTGCAGTGCGTTCTCGCGGGTAAAGCGCAGGAGGTGTATACTGCGTTATCTGAGGAGGTTAGCCGGGATTATGAACAGGTGAAAGCTGCAATTCTGCACGCTTATGAGCTGGTGCCTGAGGCATACCGTCAACAGTTTCGTGGTTTGAAAAGACAAGATTGTCAAGCGTATGCGGAATTCGCCCGTGAGAAAGAGGTTCTGTTTGAGCGATGGTGCTCATCAACGGGGACAAAATCTCTAGAGGACCTAAAAACATTAGTGCTCATGGAAGAATTTAAAAACGGTTTGCCTTACACAGTAGCCACATACCTCAATGAGCAAAAACCGGTGAAACAGTTTGATGCTGCGGTTTTGGCTGATGAATATGTGCTTACTCACAAGACTGTCTACAGTGAGAGGACTAGGGCACAGGCCGGGTTTGTGGACAATAATATCAGAGAAACCCCAGTCGTAACTAAAGTGCCATGGCAGTCCAGCAGGCCAAGAGTTGCTGAGGAAAAACCGGGAGAAGTGAATTGGGGATCTACGGATAGGCCAGTGTGTCATTACTGCAAGAAAATAGGTCATATTGTTGCGAATTGCTATGTTTTACGGGATGAAAATAAGCATGTAAAGACGGTCGTTTGGTGAGTACTTCAAAGCCAGGGTCTCACAAATCTGAACTGGAAGTTTTTGCTCCGTTTCTCATGGAGGGAATGGTGTCTTTACCGGGGAAGAACAACAGGGTTCCAGTGACCATTTTGAGGGATACAGCAGCTTCGCAATCCTTTATGATAAGGGGTGTGTTTCCCCTCTCTGAGGAGTCTGCTGTGGGTTCGGATGTTCTTGTGAGGGGGTTTGGTATGCAGTGTGTGGGTTCGCCATTGCATAATATGCATCTTGAGTCATATCTGGTCACAGGTCCGGTAACTGTCGGGGTTCGGCCATGTCTTCCCATTGAAGGGGTAGATTTGGTCTTGGGGAATGATTTAGCCGGTGGCAGAGTGCTCGTTAAGCCGGGAGTGAATGCGGTGGCAGTCACCCGCGACAGTTTTACGGCTACGGGATTGGACAGACCGGTCAG